GACAAACGTGCCCTCATGCCTGTCCTCCCCCGCAAGCAACGCTAATTACCATTTGACTTCCATTCATTTGTTCATTTATTTATTCAACAAACGTTTAGAGACAACCACGTGCCAAGCCTTATGCTAGCTGCTAGGGACCCCAGGTCACCAGTCACCCCCTCTGCCTCCCCGGAGCTTGCAGCCCAGTGGTTGTCCACAGGAAGAAAGACAAGCAAACAGACAATGACAACACAGAGCCATAGCTTTTGCCTCGTCCCCCGCCCCAAGTCCTGCCCAGCTCAAGCCAGAAACGGGAGACATCCTTGTTTCCTCAGTTTCCCCCCAGTCCTTCTCTGAAAGACACCCCGGCGTCCAGTCACTTCTCCCCGTCCGCTCTGCTGGGCCCAGGCCGCCTCCCACCTAGAGAGCTACACCCCACCCCTGCTGGTCTCCGCGGCTCCGTTTTTGCCCCCTCCATCCGGGGTGGTCTTTCAAAACCAAAAACGGCATCGTGTGACTCCCTGCTTCCCACTGTCCCCTCACTCTCCAGCCACCTGGCCTGTCCCCACACACTGTCCCACGGCTGCCCTCCTCATCTCTCACGGCTCGGCCTGAACGCCACTCCGTCCAGAGGCCTCCCCCGACCACGGTCCTAGCTCAGTGTGTTGGAAGAAGAGCGGGCTGCCTGCCCTGTGACACTGCTCCAGCGAGAGGAGGGCTTTACTCCCTCTCCCCCACAGCCGAGCCGGGCTAAGGCGGCTTTGGCCAATAGAATCTGGGGGCGACGCTACGCCAGGCCCAGGCCTACTGTTTAAGATGACTGCAGCGGCCATCCTGCTCTCTGGGAGCCCTGAGCTACCTGTCCAAAGTCTGAGGCCCGGCTGGAGGGGGAGGCGGCCCAGCAGAGCTGTCCCCACCAAAGCCCCAGGCATGTGAGTACAGCTACCTGGGACCCTCCAGACAGGACCAGCCGCCAGCTGAGTGTCACTAAACTATTCCAGTCAATGCCCTACAGAAAGCACAAAAACAGCCCAGCTGAGCCCTGTCCAATTCCGTGACCCATTAAATCATGAGCTATATTAAATGTGGGGGTATGGCTGTTATGCAGAATAGATCAGCAGAACTTTTTGCATTGTATTTACTTCCATTATGGCAATCACTTGGTTGCAGTTTGTCTTTCTTTTATTCGCTTTTTTAGGTTTTATTCTTCGTGTCTCTTCTCCACTAGAAGGAAAACTCCAGCATGGCAGGAGCCAAGTCTATACCGCCCATGCTGTAAACGCAGGGTCTGCCACATGGTGGATGCTCAATGAACACTGGTTGAATGAACAAATAAATAAGCACATCGGAGTATTACAGGGACCAGGTCAGAACCGAGGAAGATTTCCAGAGGGAGTGACAGCTAAATGCTGAGGGCTGAGGCGAGCAGGTGCAGGGTCCGAAGGGCATGGCCGCAGGGATTGGTGCCTCCCCAACCGTACCAGCTAGCAGGCATCCCCCCAGCCCTGCTCTTGTCTGTCAGTATCTCAGAGCGGGGACTGCGTCTCACGTGTCTTTGTGCACAGTCCAGGAAAATAAGAGGCCCTCAATGCACACATTTCAAGTAAATGAAGGAGCACGTGGCTTCGTGGCGAGGCAAGCCCGAGCTGGAAGTCAGGCAGTCTGGATTTTCAAGCTCAGCAGCTCACTGTTGTGTCACTGGTAAAATACGCCACTCAGCTTTTCTGTTGCTCGGTTTGCTTGAGATAAAACCATTGGTTCCCTCTCTACTTCTCTGGGCTATCGTCTGATTAAGAGAGCCAAGATGTCACAGTGCTTTGCAAAACGTTTGTTAGAATTGACATATGTGATGTTAGAAAAGAAATGTGATGCTATTGTTCTCTAAATGCTCAACCTGTCCCGGGGAAACCCTCAGAGCCATCATCTGAGCCTTTCTTTGAGCCACGTGCAGCGTGGAACTGAGCCCAGGTGAGTCTAGCCCCGAACGCTGTGCCTCCTGGGCAGCTGCACGTTCTCCACTTGCCCAGGTTGAGAGGGAACAGCGGGGCCTAAGAGAGACGGGCCCACAGAGCCGAAGGAGGAAGGCTGGACTCGGAGCCAGACGGCCTCACTTCCTGACTCAGTTCTGCCCCCAGTTTGCTGTAAGATCTTGGGCAAATCAATTCCGCCTCTGCACCCATCCTCTCAGCCAGAATGGGCTTCATAGAGCAAGTAAACCCTCCCCCTTCCTCCCTCCCACCCATTCACATTTGTCCCCATTCACCGGGAACAAACGACAGGACCTGGGCCCTGCTCCAGAGGCCTCGGCAGGTAGAAGGACACTCTTAAATGAAGTATCTTTAGGACAGCAAGGCAAGGCTTCCGGGACAGCCAGGATGAAGGACCCGGAGCACAGCACAGGCCCCGTGCGCCGAGCTCCAAAGAGGCAGCCAGGGGTCAGTCAGTGCCCTGGGGTCAAAGGGTGAGTCCAGCCTTCCCCTAGAGACCCCCCGCTTCCAGAAGCTGAGATGGCCCTGCCATCACATTAGCATCACGCACGGGGCCCGCTCCAGCTGCCCTGGCCTGGCCAACACCCTAATTAGACTCTCATGGTGTGTCAAGCAGCCTGCCTGGCCCGACTGCCAGCTGGGGCTCCCGTTCCGTCTGGTGGTCCCGGTTAATGAACCTATGAGGGGCTGGCTGAGCTCATTATAGGTGATGCGAGGGAACAGGGTACCCCCCATGCCCTCCAGTCCCCGCCTCTCCCCTTCTCCCCAGTGTTCACACTGAGAATGGGAGGGGAGCTGCTTCCAAACCAAGAGGAAGGAGGGGGCAGGAGGGAAGCTCCAGCCAGCCCTTCCACACAGCCCTGTCTGCCGCCGGGGAGAGCCAGTGACAGCTCGGGCAGGGCAGTGGATCACTGTGCCTGTGTCTGCCTCTGTGGTTTCAGGGGAGGGTCCAGATTCCATGGCCGCTCTCGGGCGGCACCAAGGCCTTTCCTTATCCCAGGCCATGGGGGCAGAACAGCAGTGGAAGGTTCAGCTCTGTCTCTTTCCAATTACTGGCCCACAGTCATGTTTGGACAAGCTGCTTTCTCAGAGTTTCACTGTCATCTTTACAATGGGGTAGTAATACCCACCTGGCACAAAGTAAGTGCTCAGTTAATGAGCTCAATAAATTATCACTGTCGTTATTATTAAAAGACAGGTGAGAAAAGACCCCAAAATGTGAGCAATGGCTGCTTCTGAGCAGTGGGACAATGAGTGATAGTTTTTCTCTTACTTTTCTGCATTTTCTACATTGTATGCAATGAGTACTTTACCTCTATCGTTTGAAAAAGCACAGATTTTCTCCAAAAAATATATGAAAAGAATGAGACTTTCTGATGTATCAGTGTGTGGAAGGACCTAGACTGTGCCTGCGGGACATTATTAATAGAAGCTTTCTCCTGCAGTGGAAGTTTGAATAGATGACATTGGGTGAAAAAAGAAACACGGTATTTGCAAATGTGAATTAAAGTTTTGTCCTTTAATAAAGCAATTTCTTATCCCCAAATGCCAGAGGGAGAAGGTACATAAGTGAGTGTTCAAATGCTGCCGCACAGACAAAGGGAGCTGTTTAGAAGATTTTAAAAGAAGAGAGCTCCCCGGCCGGAGCAGAATGCAAAAAATGGACAGCGGAAGGTGAAGGCAGCCCACGTGTCCACCGACAGATGAACGCACAAACACGACGTGGCCTATCTGTGCACCAGAACATCACTCAGTCGTAAAGAGAAGGGAATTCTGCCACATGCTAACGAACACATGAACCTTGAGGACGTTATGCTACGTGAAGCAAGCCAGTCACAAAAAGACGAATACTGTGTGACTCCACTTACACGAGCGTCCTCGAGTAGTCAAGTTCGTAAAGACATCAAGTAGAATGGCGGGCGCCAGGGGCTGGAAGGAGGGTGGATGGGGAGCTAGTGTTTAACGGGGATGGAATTTCGGTTGAGAAAGATGATAAGAGTTTTGGAGATGGATGGCGGTGGTGGTTGTACAACAATGCAAATGTACTTAATGCCACTGAACTGTACATTTAAAAATAGTTGAGATGGTAAATTTTACGTTGTGTGTATTTTACCACAATTTAAAAATAAACATATAAAGGGAACAACGGGATGAGACCCAGAGGAAGGGGAAGTGAGTGAGCTGAGATGAAGCAAGTCGCTGCCCTCCTGGAGTTGAGGGCCATTTGCTAGAGAGATGGCGCAAGGAGGAGAGAAGAGTCCGGGGGCAGGACTAAGGGAGAGACAGACCGGCCGGGGTGACCTGCAGAGTGGTGGGCACAGGCCAAGTAAGGTTCGCTGCCTCCCACCTGCACTTAGCGGGCTGGAGCCAGCGAGCTCTAAGTGCAGACGGTTTTATAGCTTCAGGATTCAAAGCCCACCAAGTCAGTGCCCAACCAGAGGAAGCCCCTGTGAACTCAGAGCGTGGGGTGTGACAAGTCATGACAGGGGAGGGTTTGTGCATCTTAAATATGTGGACTGGGGAGGGAAAGAGCCCGGGCACCGAGGCCCCCCAGGGGAGCAAGGAAGAGGCATGCTTTGAGCAGCAGTTCCATGAAGGAGAAGTCCTAAGGTCGTCGTGCAGAAGGAATTTGGAAGCAGGCTGGCTGAGACCCAAATAAAAGACAACTGGATAGGGTCAGGATGTTGTGAAGGAAGGTGGGGTCTCACCTGGGCACAGATGGAGGCTAGCTCAGTGCCTGGTGCTTGGCAAGATAATAATGACAGCGACGACAATTTATTGACCACTTACTGTCTGTAACAAGCACTTTTCTCGCGTTACTCAATTATTCCCTTCAGCAACCTTCTTCACGGGACCTATTTCCAGCTTCACTTTACGCTCCAGGAAGACTGAGGATTGGAGGTCTGAGATCCTGCAGACGCAGGGCCTTAAAGGCAAGCCCTCGGCCTCCAACAAGGCTGGGCCTCCTTTCTGCTTTGCCACCGACTGTCTGCCCACCCTCCCATCCCCCCGGGCCCCTGGCCAACTTCTCACTTGAACTGGTGCTCCCGGGAGCTGCGGATTTTGGAGGAGAACCGCTCGGCCAGCTTCTCCAGGCTGCGGGAGTACTCGAGCTCGATCTCAGCTTTCCGGCGGAAAAACTCCTGCAGGTCTTGAAGCAGCTGCAGCCGTGACTCGGATTGCTGCTCCAGACATTTGAACTGCTCCACCAGCTGTGTGCGGATCTCTGTGGGCAGAGGCCAGGGCCGGAGCATTAGACAGGTGCCGGGGATGGCCGTGGGACCCACCCCGCTGACCCAGGCACTGCAATTCTGGCAGCCCCCTCCCCACCACCCCCACCCAGATCCTCTCTGAGCCCACTCAGAGCCTAGACCTTCCTGGGCAGAGCATTGGCACAAAGATTTGGCATATGCTGGGTTTTGCTACTTGGTGTAACCCGGTATTTCCCAAACTCGAATCACTGCATGTTGCCACCACGATTTCTGCCAAGTCACATGCCCCCAGCATTATTATTTCTTCCATCTATCTGGTAAACTGACTCACTTTTCTCACTGAAATGATCTTGCTTAAAATGAAGTTTTCTGTCATTATGGCAAAATGGAAAACTAGGACCCTTGCAGCCTAGAACATAGGAAATAATTAAATGAAAACAAAAATTTTTCAAAATTCTTTCTTTTTTTTTTTTTTTTGAGACAGAGTCTCACTCTGTTGCCCTGGCTAGAGTGAGTGCCGTGGCGTCAGCCTAGCTCACAGCAACCTCAAACTCCTGGGCTCAAGCGATCCTCCTGCCTCAGCCTCCAGAGTAGCTGGGACTACAGGCATGCGCCACCATGCCCAGCTAATTTTTTCTATATATTTTTAGTTGTCCAGATAATTTCTTTCTATTTTTTTTTTTCAGTAGAGACGGGGTCTCGCTCTTGCCCAGGCTGGTCTCGAACTCCTGAGCTCAAACAATCCGCCCGCCTCAGCCTCCCAGAGTGCTAGGATTACAGGTGTGAGCCACCGCACCCGGTCGCAAAATTCTTTCTAGAGACTACTGCTTACCAAAGGCCTAAGCTGCTGGCTTTTAATCAACCAAAGGAAAACAGCAGTGTGAGACATGTTAAAGAAAGACTTTCTCCAGATATGGTCAGGACTAGGAGAGAGCTGAAAAGGGCACACTGTTCCCTCTTCAGGGTTATTTAAGGCCATGCCTGTTGTTTCCCTTCAAATCACCTTGAATTCCATGTATAAACATCTAAGGTGGCACTAGAGGAATGTAGCCCACACTTGAGGAAAGGCTGATTGATCAAACCAGGTCTCTCCAACTAAGGCAAAAGTTCAAAAGCTTGGAGTTGGAGTTAAAAATCACAGCGGAATCCCAATAACCACAGCCAATCTCATCTTCAGGCCTGTCATGTTGTCATCGTCCCCATGCATTGACTCCTTCCAGGCCCTCCCATGAGCTGCTCAACAGACCAGCCTCTCCGAAGCACCTTGCTCACACCAGCAAACTGCTCAGAAATACCCCACGCTCCCCCGTGCCTGAATATTAAGTCCAAGTCCTCAGCGTGGAATTCAAGGCCGTCCACCGCCCAGTCCCAAACTTTATTTCTCAGGACTTATTCCCCAATGGACTCTCCAAACAATTCAAGCCAGTCCTTGAAATGTCAAACCTCCCCTGCCTAAATGTGCACCCTGTGTGGGCTGTGGCCGGCATCATCTCAGCATCCTTCAGAGAACTGGTCTTCGCACCGGGGCAGACCTACTCTGGGGTCCACAAAGACATGCCGAGGGGTATGCAGGCAGAGGGAGTAATAAGGGATCAGCTTGAGGCCCTCTGCTTTCATTCCCACTCTTTCCTAAAATTGCTCTGCCTGACACCGTGCCCCAGTCTAGATGGCACGGCCACTCTCCTTGCCCACCTCCCTCGTCACACCGGTCCTGCACCCTCTGTTACAGGAGAGAGGCCAACTTCTCATTCATCCAGAATCAGACTATGGTGCAGTGGCCCCAAGTCTCAAGATATCTGGGTGCCAAAAGAAAAAAGGGGCAATTTAAAATGGTGTTAGCAAATCTTCCTTTAGTCCAGGGACCACAAACCCTTGCTACTCAAAGTGCGGTACCCAGACCAGCAACATTGGTGTTATTGGTGGGCTGATAAGAAAGACTGAACCATCCAAACTCATCAAGATGCATAAAATAAAGGTGCGAAATTTTCTGTATATCAAGTATACCTCAATAAAGCTTAAGAAAATGCAGAATAGAATCTCAGATCCCAGCCCGGACCATCAGAATCAGAATCTGCATTTTGACAAGATCTCCCAGGTGGTCTTCATGCACCTTAAAGTTGACAAGCGCTGCCAACGGCCACCCCCTATCTCGTGAGGAGAAGCATTTCCCATACAATGTTGCTTTTTAAATTTAATCATTTATCAAATGTATAAGATATTAATGTCATTTTGATGAATTGTGTATTAGTGATCACGTTAATGATAAATCAATCCAAAAGAAAGATCCTTAGAGTTTCACAGTCAAAGAAAAATTTTAAATGTCCATTTCAATGTACATACATATTCAGGGTAAAAAGCATAATAATTAACTTTAAGTCTCAAGCATAAAGATATAATATATTAAGAGGAAAATCTGTGAAGGAAGAGAAAGAAATTAGGAGCTCGAGAAGGTAAAGAAAGGAAC